CGAGGTGGCGTGGCCACTTGTGCCGGGCCTGGGCAGCTCAGCCCCGGGGCAGAGCGGGGCCCGGGTGTTTGGGGGAAGCAGTTGCCGACTGTTGTGCTGCAGTGGCACATTGCAGTGTGCGTGGAGGCCCGAGCCTCCTGCCTAGGACCTGCGCTGCAGGTTTGGGAAGATCTTTGGAGAAGGGCTGCTCTGAGGTCTGTGACTCTGCAAGGAGCTGCAAGTGACTCGTGGATGGACTCTTGCTTTGCGAGCATCAGTATTTCACTTAGTTTCCTAGATCCTGCTGCTACTTCACAGTCCCCGGTGACTCTGCAGATGTTAAGCCACCCTCCTGCCTTAACCGGTCCCCAGGCCTGTAGCAGCCTGTGGAGCGCTGTGGTCGTAGTGGGCAGCTAGCTGACTCCTCTCAAATTCAGCTCCTACTCTGTACCAACAGGCTCTTGTAACAGCTGTGCCTGGCTAGTGGTGTGCGATATTACCTTGGTACATTGGTGTTTCTGATGTTAATGAACTTAATTACAAAAACGCAGAGAGGATTATGGTTCTTAAAGCTCCATTTCTGACACATACAGAAACCTTTGACACAAAAGGTATGGGAAGAGCATACACGGATGTTGCTGACTCCTGTATGTTAACTGCTCTGGCTGACTGATTGTCACAGGGATACAGCAGAGAAAAAGTGATTTGTAGGCAACAGAAATTGCTAGTCAATAGTAGGGACTAGTGTCTGTGCAGAATTCATAGCAAAATGTAAATGCCATCGTCTCTTACATAGTTACCAATGAAAAGAGTCCCTGTCTTTTTCTACTTTACCCCACCAATATTAGCATATTTAAGTGTTATATCAACAGCAGGGTTTTAAAAATTTTTTTACCACAGATGTCAGTCATCAGGTGATCTGTGATTCTTACCAGGACTTTTTTTGTGTATGTACTCTCTAATGAGGCTTTTAACTGCATGTGTTGGTCCCACTGTCTTTATTTTTCATCTCTTAATAACAGAAGAATTTTTCTGTTTCATTGTTCTGATATGTTTGATCCTCTTAGCTGAGGACTACTTTCTTACTCAATCCCTGGAAAGAAACTTGCTCTGAGTGGTCATCTACAAGAGCTTGGCTTCTTAGCCCGCATGCCCCGTCAGCTAACTTCTACAGACTGCCTTTACATGTGTTACTGAGAGCTGATAGTTTCCACAAGGCCTTTTAGCTTGGCTGACTGGCTGCGTCAGTTAGAATTGCATTCCCTAGAGTTAGTAAAGCCTTTGCTTTACTACAGTACAGTTTCAGTGACTTTGACTGACACAACTAGAATTGGACAGTGACCTAGCATTCAGGAAGCAGCAGGGTAAGTTTTTCAGACTGTAACTGTTTTTCTTCAGAGAAGTAATTCGTTGGGTTGCTATACTGAATGGTTGTATTGCACAGAGTTACAGGAAATGCATAGGGGAAAGAAAAGAGTGAGTGAGAAAGGATTTTCATGTGTCTTATGTTGTTTTTGTTTGTTTTTAAATGGCAGATGCTTTCTTTACCTGTCGAAAGAATGTGCTTCTGGCGAAGAGCACGTCCACCCAGATAGAAGGTGTCTTTGCTGCGACCAGAGGAAGGTTGGTCCCAGAAGAGCAAGAAGCCCTTCTCCAGCAGTGGCTGGAAGAAGGAGCAGGGAATTTGCCAGCCAGTGAGAGTGTTCCAGCAGTGGGGAAAGTATCAGTTACTCTCACTAGTGACTGGTTAGAAGGTTCAGAGCTATTGATGACTAGCCTCAGTGACCTGAATTCTGCTCCAGAAGTCACCTGGTGTGCTGGTCAGCAGCTCACAGAGCTACACGCTTTGGCTTCTTCAGAACGGCAAGATCATGCAGTGACGGAACTCGCAAAATTACCAGCAGAGGAAACAGTGGTTGTGGCAGGCAGTGCCCCTTGGGCAGCTGTGGTGCCACAGACGGATCACCAGATAGCTGGCTGTGCCACTATCGGTGTAGAAGTGCAGAATGAAGACCCAGCTGTGCTGGCCTGGAGTTTAGCGTGTGATGCAAAGACAGTGCCAACGGACCCCCCAGCCTGGCCCATTCAGGATACAGTACAATCTTGTCCTCTCCCGACAGAGGTACCCTACCATGGTCAGTAGTAACAGCTCAGAATCTAATATTCGGTTTGGAATTTCCGTTTGTAGTGAATGTGATCAGATTATTGTGTCTGGGCTTGCTGTCAGTCATTGATTGTATCTGTCCATGCAGAATTGACAGTCTCTGTCACTGAAAACTATAAAGTGAGTTTTGCTGAGGGACGGGTAGTCACAGCTAGTAGTCTCTGTGCTATTAGACCATCTGGTCTGAACATCAATATATGTTCATTTTCCCGAAACTGTTCCCAAGTGCTGGCTTCATAATGTAAAAAGCACCCAAAAGCTGGTTGAGTGATTCAGTATGCTTGACGCTGGTCTTCTGTTATGTCATCCCCATTGACAACTATCCAAAGACATCCAAAAAGAGCACCTGAAAACCAGAGTGGGTGAGGGTTTGCTCAGAAGCTGGAACCCCTGAACTTAGAGAATGAAAATGGCTGTTTTCTGGGTCGAAAGGGAACAAAAGTATCCACAGAGTACTTAGCATGGCTGTAACTTGGCTTTTTGTTTCTTGCATATAGAGATTTTATGGAGAGACTGGGAGGATCTTTCTGTCCAGCCCTGTATGCTAGAGCAGGTCTCGAAAAACACTCCTCTCTTTGAATTTCGAGTCATGTCTTACAACATCCTTGCCCAGGACCTGGTGGAGCAGGGCCTTGATCTCTATCTACACTGTCATCCAGACATCCTGAACTGGAACTACCGCCTTCCAAACCTTTTGCAGGAGATCCAGCACTGGGATCCTGATGTGAGTATGATTGAGCCCTTCTCACATCAGTGTCACAAGAATTGAATTCCTTGTTTCATCTAACAGAGTTAAAAAAAAAAAAAAAAAAAAAAAAAAAAAGATGGCGGGGGAAGTTGTAGGAAGGTACTACCTGCTTGGTAACTGAACAGTGATTCCTCTGAGAGTGTTTGAGGCTTTGTGCATACATACATTTTTTGGTATTTGTCTTGCTGTGATTGTGTTACTGTAGAAATTAGTCATACTTAAATAGCAGGGCTTAACTTCTTTAAACAGTAGTAGTAGAGGAAGAAGAGATAATGTGTGTTTGGGAAGGAAGGGATCAGGTTTATAAGGCAGCATAGGAAGGGAAGTGTGCATAGAAGAGGATTTAATAACTTTCTCTATTCCTTGAGTCATCTTTGTGTGATGAATGATCTTCTGCCTGGTCACTGTAACAATGAATGATAAGCTAATGTGACCCAGAAAGTTACTGCTCTCTATCTGGAAAATACAGGACAGAGTTGCAGTGATGACCTTTCTGGCTGCAGGGTTGGTATGTGAGTGCACTTTTCCACTCTCTTCCTTCCCCAAACAAGGTAACTAGCAAATACTGGTGGAGCGAGTGAGGTCTCTGCCTTCCTTCCAGGTTCTGTGTCTTCAGGAGGTGCAAGAGAACCATTACTGGGAGCAGCTGGAACCGACCTTTAAGGAGATGGGTATGTCCTGCTTTTGTGTGTCTGTACCTCCAGCTCACGGGGGTGGCCAAGCAGTGCTTCCTGCTTAACATCTTCAAAGCACTCGGTCTTGAGAGAGTTCTTCCTGTTTGGCGGGTGGCTGCTGGCCCTACTTCTGAACTGTCTGCTTAGACCTTTACACTTTCTTTTGTAATTGATCTTTCTCAGAGTTGACAGATGAGAGTAACAAAACTGAGAGAGTCCTATAAGGACAGAGAGAGAAAATACCCTCTAAATAAACGATAAACTGTCATTACTGGAACAGAATTGGGTGTAATGATGTACCCAAATCTAGTAGGAGCCTCTTCTGCTACACAGACTTGCTGAAATCCCCAGCTGATGGGGGAAGCCTGAGGTAGTGACTGGATAAACCTTTTAATAGGTGATGGTTTATTTTCAGGCTTTGCATGCTTCTATAAACGGAGAACGGGGACGAAGACAGATGGCTGTGCGGTGTGCTATAAGCGCAGCAGGTTCCAGCTGATCACCCTCAGCCCCATAGAATACTTCCGGCCTGGCCTGGACGTCCTCAATCGGGATAATGTGGGCTTGGTGCTGCTGCTACAGCCTCTGCTCCCAGAGGGCTTCGATCTGAAGGCAGTCAGTCCTTTGTGTGTGGCCAACACTCATGTGTTGTTCAATCCCCGGCGGGGAGATATCAAACTGGCCCAGATGGCCTTGCTCCTAGCAGAGATCGACAAGATTGCAAAAAATACTGAAGGCAGCTACTATCCTGTCATCTTGTGTGGAGACCTGAACTCTTTACCTGATTCTCCACTCTACAAATTCATCCGGAATGGTGAACTTTCCTACCATGGGATGCCAGCCTGGAAGGTAGGTGCCTGCCAGAACTGGGATTGACTATCTCTTTGTCGCTTGCTGCTAGAGAAATGCATGGCTGCATTCTTTTTCTCATGAGGAAATAGTCTGAACATTAAATTCAGTTATTCAGCAGTCTGCTGAGGAAGGAAGCGGACAGATTTGTGCGTGCTGTTTCCACCAGTGCTCTTTTGGTTTCTCTTGAGGCAAACCAGTGATAATAGATCACTTAATTTCAGGTCCTGGTTCCCCCTTGCTATGGGATTTTTGTGCCTGGGTGTCTGGAAGTGTAGGGTAGTACAACTCCACCAAGACTTACTGAAATTTTGTGTGGATGTTTGATCTGAAAACAGTTTGAAATGGGCACCTATGCTAGAGTCTCTTGTGGTTACCTGTCTCTGTGTATCCATGATGAAATACATCATTGGCTTTCAAGCTAAATCATCAGTTCAGTAATAGATGCCTGCAAAGTATATTGCCAGGTGACTTTTAGCTAATTGTATCTCTCCCCCACAGCTGAAGGTTTGTTATATCTGCACCATATTCTGAACAGCTTAGTTCATGCCTTTCTATGAGGGCATAGAAATTTTCATGCCTGTCTTGCTCCTGGCAAATGTATGTATGTACATTGTCTATAGCTTGCAAAAGTTCCGCTCTGTGCTGCTGATGTTTCCTCTCCTGTTTCTGGCCTCTTTGCAGGTGTCTGGTCAGGAAGACTTTTCCCAACAGTCTTATTCACGGAAACTGCTGGCCCCACTGTGGCCAAGCTCTCTGGGTGTAACAGACAACTGCCAATATGTCACCCTGTGCCAGCCAAAGAAACTAGGTGAGCTCCAATGTGCACAGAAAGCATGAGTTTGCTGAGGATGGACAGTTTGTGGGCCTTGCTGTCACTCTGAGTATCTTGGACATGTGTTGCATGAGGCACTCAGCAAAGATTCTCCTCTTCTGTCCATCTCCTTGGTATATGAATCAAATTTAATTTTTCTGGAGTTTGTTGCTGTTGCCCAATTTCTGCCGTTTTCTTTCTCTAGTCAGAAGCTGAGTGTTCCCCTACCAGTAACCATTGCTCTATGTATCGCTTTCATATTCCTAGACTTCTGGTTTTGTGCAGTTGTAAACCACGTTCAACAGCCACATCTTTCGGCTGCAGGTGTTTGAGGGAATGGTTTTGGGCAGTGTTTGCACACCACTGTTAGCAAATCATTCCTAGGAGCCCACTTACAATCATGACTGTTGTCTACTATCCTTAGAGAGGACTAAAAAAAAAAGGAGCACACATTAAATAGCTTTTGTTGGAATCTTGAATGTAGAACTTGTATTCAACCTGATCTCCAGAATTGTTTTTTCTTTTTTGGCAATCATTTCCTTGAGTTGCACACTAGCTGATCTGCTTAAAAATACCTTGAACTTGTGGTGTCTCAGAGGGGACATTCTTAATTTGTTTCATCAAGGTGCTGACCATGACCATTGCATTAGCTAAAGGGACAGCAACAACTGTGCTCTGTTCTTCTACATTTACGCATGTGTCCTGTTCTACGTTTAGGTTATTAAGTGATTCCTATTCTCATGGTATCAGAGTGCTTGGGCACAAAAACCTCTCTCCAACTAAAGAGGTCTGTAAGAGGTCTAAAGAGCATGCAAATGTTCCCGGTAGATGTGACTTTGTTGCAGTTATTTTCTTCTTTTACCTTGTATTTTTCTTTGCAGGCAGACATAAGTACAGCCGGGACTTCCTGCTCCAGTTTCGTTTTTGTGATGTTGCCTGTGAACGACCACTGCAGCTGGTCCGCTTGGAAGGTGTGACAGATGCTAAACCAGGTATTAATGGGAGATTTTTCAGCTCGTGACTCTCCTAGCTTGATTTTAATGAAAACATGAGGTGGAGGTAATGCCTGGTGAGAAAAGGGGAAGGGAGAAGGGTGCCTTCTTGTGGCTGTGTGATTACTGATGGATTCCATGAGAGCTCAGAGGAGTACAATCTTACCACCCTCATACACACTGACTGTTCCTTGAGATGCACTGAGATTCAGGCTCTTTTGGAGGCTGTTTCTTATCAAGTGATATATATATATATATTTTTCTTTTTTTTCTACTTCAAGATTTTTGGGTGGGGGAGAACAAACCTGAAGACTGTAATGTCGCAATGGCCACAATGTAGATGTGTCTGGATGCCCGTACACAGTAGACAACTGCCTCAGCTCGGGGCCTTGTCGCATGGCTGGTTCTGCTCTCTCCATTTCTGTTCTGCCTTTATAGACACCCTTTAAGTAAGCTGTAGGCTGAGGCAAATGAACTTTTTTGAGAGCAAAGGTTGAAGTACCCAGAGCTTTGATAATACTAAATGCTTTAAGGCCATGTCCTTAGCAGGACAGAATATGACTTCTCAGTTGTTTGCAGTGATCTGCTCTCAGGATGTTCCTATTAGTCTTAGAGCTGGGGTTTCTTTTGAATATTTTTCCTTAAGGTGCCCGTGACCGGAAGTTATCTGCTCTTCTTGGGCAAAAAGATTTGTTTGGTGTCAGGAGAAGCGTCTCAGGCTTGGGATAAGCAACCTGTTCCAGGATCTATGTTGGTCTGGTCTATCTGGAATCTCTTTGCTCCTTTGCAGACCGCCCTGCACACTGGCCGAAGCCTGCTGCCATGGTGAAAGACCCTGATCCCCAGCCATTCGTCCCAAGGTAATTTGGTGCACCATCAACGGCCCCACTCTTCAAGCCCAATCTCATTTTCCTGAGCACTGAAAATCTGGCTGAAATAAGTACTGAAATAAATGTGAGGGTGGACAAGAGTAAGGAGGGCTATTTGGAAGAGCCAGATCCACCCAGGGTTGTCCCAGCAGCTGGGCACTGTTCTGTCAGTGTTGTGTTGGTGAAGTCGAGAGTGAAGGGCACAAGACTGGGTGTTGGAGACAAAGGAAGTTCATAGTCCGCTTTGTCTTTGGTGTAAGTGGAGTGAATAATTCTGAAAGACTGTCTTTTATGTATTCACAAAGTAGAAATAGTTTGGACAGTGGCATCAGGAAGGAAACATCCAACTTCATCTGCGACTGTAGTAGTGAACACTGCGTCATCCTCTTTCCTTCCTTGGTAAACAGTGGCTGTTCATGTGCAGGTCTTCAGGTGTTATCCAGCATGGCCTCAACCTCACCTCTGTCTACAGCCACTTCCTGCCACAGAGGGGACGCCCGGAGGTCACAACTATGCCCATGGGGCTTGGAGCCACCGTGGATTATATCTTCTACTCGGCAGAGCCTGTGGAGAATGGGAAGAGGGGGGGTGAGTGTGGCAGTGTGGGGCTTATCCTTGTGATGTTGGGAGAGGGCTGTGAGGCATGCCAGAATGCAGCTCGGTGTTGGGCAGTGCATTTTGTTAAGCTGGGGTGGATCTGCTGGGTGTGACTTTGACTGAAATGATGCACAAATTGCAAGCAAAAATTGCTCAGATAACATGAGAAGACACTGTTTATCTTTTCTGTGGAAAAACTGGAACTGCTTAGCTTAGGTTCATGTAGACTTTTGATGGAGCTACAAATGGAATGGATTCTGTTCTTTTGTGTAAGCATCTTACTTGTGCTCCTGATAACAGGTAGTGCTGGGTCCTAAGTTCAAGGCTTGGACTTCTGATCTGACTGAGACCACACACTGGCCTTAGAAGGTGGTGATTCTGGTTACCTTACAATGGCACCACCTCTCTGCTACCTGAAACAGGAGTTATGTTGATGAAAGACTGCATGTAAATGTATCCAGGAACTGTCTCTGAGCTGATTTGGATTATGTCAGAATCAACTTTTGGGAGGAGGTTAGGAGTGAAGAGATGAATTCCTCCTCAGGGGAGAATCTGAAGCTATTGCTAGGACTTAGTACCATGAAAGGAACTTCCCATGTAAGCAACTGCCTGGTGAATTTAGTATATACTTGATTCCTGTGCCTGCAAGTATATGAAACCACTGAACAGCAGTATTACTGGATGCTCTTTGCTTTCACATCTAGGCTCAAAGGTGCATGCAGTGTTTGGGCAGGCTGTCTTCGTTCATCAGGGGAAGAATAGGAAGGCATTGACAAGCATCCCTCTGTGAGTGTATAGGGTTAATCTACAGGACTGGTCTCTGGCTGATGTTTATTTCCGTTTTCTTTGTCAGGTCGAAGGCTGTACCAGGATGGAGCCCTGAAGCTGCTTGGTCGCCTTTCCCTTCTCTCTGAAGATGTCCTGTTGCTGGCAAATGGCTTACCAAATCATTTTTGTTCATCTGATCATCTCTGCCTGCTGGCTAGCTTTGGCTTGGAGATCTCCAGCCTCAGAGAGGGTTAGTGTTGGATCCCTTTCCCTAAAGAAAAGTGTTTCTGAGTACATCAGCTGGGGCTCTGGATTGCACAACCTGCTTTTCCTTGTCAAGCCCTCGAAGTCCCTTTCTCCCCTCACACCCTTAAAAAAACAGGGATGGGAGAGTTGGAGTGCTTTTTGCATTGCTATTTTGTGGGTCTCTGCAAACCTGAGCTGTGTTCCCAGTGGGTGTCCAGTTGTATTCAGGTATTACCATCTCTTAAAGGGTTTCTTGTTCCACTGCTTTCTTTAGCAGATGTTTTAGTGCTGCGGGAATGAACCTAACTCCCATGTTTATTTGTCCTTGTGTTAGATCTTCAAGGAGCTGGGAAAGAGAAGGGCAACACTGCCTACTTCGGGTTAGTTAATTGCTACCAAGCAGCAGGGGATGTATACACCAATATTCTTTCACATCAAAACAATGGTTCTTTTAATTTCTCGGTGATATTTAATGAAGTATGGTCCTTCTGGGACTGGTTGTTTTGTTGCCTTTGAGAGTGGTGGCTCTGCTAACTACTTGGAAATGGCTTTTATTTAATAATATGTAAGGGCTGCCTTGCTGGCAGGAGGGTTTGTGTAGTTGAACAGTTGCTGCAAGAAGCTGCCTGCTGTGACTAACGGGTCAGGGAATGGGATTGCCAGGAACAGAGTCAGGGGTTCTACACAGCCACCAGCAGGAGCTCCAGAACTGCAGCAAAAGTCTAGAGGCCTTTGAGAAGGCTCCCTTCCTTTCTAACAGTCTCAGAATGATACCTAGCTTGGCACTTGATGGAAAAATATTTACGATCCTCCTAGTGAATATCAGGTGGAAAAAAATGTCCTGTAAAGCATGACAACCCAGGAGGCTATAGCTCTTGGGAGGTCCCAAAAGAGATATGAAAATGGAATGCATGTGAGAGGCAGCAGAGCCATCAGATGGAAGAGCAGATATTTGTCACTTGCCCTACTCTTTCTCTGTGTCCCCCGTATTCCATTCAGCCTGCCAGGGATCAGATAGCCAACCTGTAGCATCCTCCTGCGCCACACTGAAGTTCATGCCACTGCCGCCTTCTGGAGCCAGCCATGTTTAGGTAGGTAGAACCTATAGGACTGACTCCTGTTGTTTGACAGGTGTTGGGATGGAGGGGAAGGCTGTGTAACTTGGACCCAGATTGTAAATCACTTGGATCCTAGTGTACCTTTGGTATCCTATCAGTGTACTTTTGTCTGCAGTGCTTGGCCAGTACAGAAACAGTAGAACTGTACCTGTTCCTAGGGCAGATTCCCCAATTTGGCCTGACATTTGATGCTCAGTTTTTACATGAGAGAGGAGAGCAGTATTGGCAGAAACATTACCAATTCTTCTGTTCACAAATGAGGCAGGGAAATCTGGTCCCACCTCAGGTGTTTGTGGGAAGGTACGAGGAGACTTGAAATATTGTTCTCTCTTCCTGGGTTGTATCGGGGGACTTTAATATTTTAAATGTTACTTTCTTTGTTAAAAAATAAAATTTTTCTAATCTAAGAAAAAAACCTACAAAGTAACTGCAGCACCTTGTGCTCCTGGCAGCTGAACCCTCTGAGAACTTGCTCAACAAGGCTTTGCTGGCTGGTATGTTGAAGAGAGGAAAAATTAGCTACACAAGGTAGTAATAATGAGGGTAGAAGAGAAAGAAGAAGTGGGCCTAGTTGTTTTCTCCCAGCATATCCCCAAATCCCAGAGGTGGTTTATTTGCCATTGGGCTTGTCGTGCAAAATGGTTTGCATTCAGGAATCCTTCCTCTCCTCCCATAGAAAGCAATTACTGCTGATCTTTTACAGCTCACTTCTGTAAACTCTACAGAAACAAGGGGTGTGTGTGGGGATTGTGTTTTGTGCCCACTGCATATTCCCTTCTTTCCCCTGCCCAATGGTGTGGTATTTGCCTGGTGATGTGTGGCTGGCTTTTGCTACCCCATTTGGGATAACGTGTAGGAGTCTATGTAAGCGAACAGCAATCTGGGGGTGAATAAGTTTGCAGTTTTGTTTGCCCTTAGTTTCACAGGTAATGGTTCTGGCGTGGCACTGTTTTTTGTACATGGGGAGAGATCCAGAGCTGTGTATTTCTTTCTCCCAGTTGCGCTAATTTCTGCAAGTACTCTTATTCTGATTCTGTAATTGGTTGTATTTGTAAAGGGAGGAAAGGGAAATTGGTGAACTGAGAGCTGTATTTTCTGACAGGCTTGAAAAGAGGTTGCCAGAAAGCAGCCTGATTGCAGATAACCACCGCCAGCTGGTAATATTGTAATAGGAAGCTTGGAAGATACTAAAAGTTTAAAACCAACCAACCAAAAGCAAAACAAAAACCACTGTGACACATACTGTTGGCACTTACAACTTTGACTATCTGCTTCAGTTGTAATTGCTGGCTAGGTCTGACGGTCAGTTGATGAGGGGTGGTGGTGTTTGTGTGAAAGCTGCTGTCCTGCCCCACCTGTTGAGACCCATAAGGTGTGCACAGTACACCATCAGATGAACTGATTACCCCTGCACTGGCCCAAACACTCTGCCCATCCTGTGATGTAACTGAGGCATAGGAGCTGTGCTTCAACATCACAAGTGCTTCTTCCATTTTATTTAAACCAAAGACTTGGCTTTTCTTTTTGGATAATTTGCATGAAGGCATCTCTCAGGGAGCTTTTAAGGTTCCAGCTATATTTTGTTGGAAAATCTAATGTTCCACAGGTCAAGCTAATGCTTTCTCTTTCGAGAAATAGTATGGTATGAACTTGGAATGGTTAAGTTGTTGAATGCTGGATATGGAGTCATGTGCTGAGAAACCCCAGGGCAATGCCTACAAGTCCTCTGATTCTTCTTTCTGAAGGTTAGAAAGCTCTCAGAGATCTGCAGCTCCCAAAGCCCTGGCTCACATGTACTTCCTTGGGCATTCGTAGGCAAAACTATCACAGAAATGCAAGACCATTGCTTGTGACTGCATACAGACAGACAAAGGCAGAGTTGAAGAGCTGATCGCTGTGGTTGTTTTGACCACCATCCCTGAAGGTCTGGTATAGACCCCTACAGAGTTCATCTGTTTCAGGAAAGAAAAAAACTCTCTGTTCTAGAGCAATTTGGAGTTAACACCAAATGGATCGGACCTGTGAATGCCTCTGGCTCTGGGGAACTGTAGAAGTGTGGATGCGGGGTGGGTAGAAAGCATCCCTACCATTAAAATAGCAACTAGTATATAGTTGTAGGGAGAAAATGATGCGTTCTGTGATGCTTTAAGAATAGCACACAGTGATATAATAAGAGGCTGTGCTAATGAGAAACTCATGGTGGGAAGCAGAACTAAGATTCCAGATGTAGCTCTGAACACTGTTACCTGACCTAAATGCATGACTAGTTGTCATTAACACAGCTTTCTGATGAATTACAGAGGGGTCTGTAAATGGTTACAAAAGTGGAACAGCAGGA